TGGTCCCCATTTTTCGTATTGATTTTTTTAAATAAGCTATGTGTGTAAATACTAAAAATATACTTGACAAAAAAAAATTTAAAGACTTTTGATAGCAGGATCCAACCTCCTGAAACAAACAGAAAGGACAACAAAAATCTGCAATAATGTTTTAGGAGATGAAGATGCGAAAGGTGATTTAATGCCAGACAGGGCCTGGTACAAGGTCAAGGCCACAGTTGCACTTCTATTCCCTGGGTGATAACGATGATAAGATTATTCAATATCTTCATCATCTCCTGTCATTTACCCGTGACAGGAAAGATTGATGGTAGATCCAGCCTTTCCTAGAATCCCAACAAGAACATTGCATGTTACACTCTGTTCCTTATGGCAGTTTATTTTTGTATTACGCATACCGGTATCTGTTAAAATTTAATGCTTAACCTATATTATCAGGGATGCTTCACTGCTTAGGGATCTCGACACATTTTTTCGCAAAAAAGTGGAAATAAATAAATTTAGAAATTCCATTATGCTAGTATTTGTCCGTAAGTGACATGGTTACGCATACAGATCTATGTATGTGCTTTTTCACCCCCGCCCCCTCCCACGGAAATTGGAAATTGGACAGCATGCATATGACCAATCAAAATTGTGACCCGATGGAGTTCGGTGTCTGGGGCTAAAATGTACGGTTTAGCTGGTGAGAATTTATCAACAAGATGTGATATCTTCTAAGTATCCTGTTTACAGATAATAAATATTACGAGTCACTTGCTGTTGTGTATAAACACCATCAGCCTGCAAATAATATACGTACCATGTATTATACTTACATGTAAACTGTACGAGGGAATGATGGGTATAGATGGTCTGCAATGTCCTTGTTAAGAGTTCATGGGTGTGAATTGAAATAAAGGAGGTGTTATTTTTTTAAAAATATATACAAGTTTAATTTAAATACAACAGAGCTTTCTGATTCCCTCTAGTTTTATAATTTTGTAGAACTTATCAATGTTCCTCGAAAAAAAGGAATTCAGTTGAGGGTTTGACTAAGAGGTGAACGTGTTTTAAAGATTCTCTCTCTCTCTCTCTCTCTCTCTCTCTCTCTCTCTCTCTCTCTCTCCATTTTATTAACGTCGATGGGAAAAGTAGGACTTCTACTCTTCGTGTATATCTTGCCTTTATATTAGATTTGTTTTTATGCAGGATTTATTGTAACATTGGATTTATTTCTGTTGATTTGTTAATTATTTTGCCCGGAAAAATAAAAGTATTCGGTATTTATGACGTGATACTTCTTTGATAAATCAATAAAAGCCCAGAGATATAAACATGCATGCTTCTAAGAATGTGTCTGTATTTTAAGATATAACATTTTTTCTTTTATGAACTGTGCACAATACAGAATTTATGCACAGGTGGTCTATCTGTAATATAAATTTCTTGTTGTAAAAAGAAATTAGTAAAAACGGCAACTTTCGGAAAATAAATTTTGTGTTTGATTTGATTCAGACAATTCTGAATGTATAATTAATGTGAAACAGAGCTGAACACAATTATTAAACACTTGTAACTTACAGGTGCATGTACTATATGGAGATAAGAAATAATCAGTTTTACAGAAGGCTTCCGCAAAGGAAATTCTGTTTTTGCAAATTTTAACAATAATTTTTAAGACAATAAATTACAAATGAACATCCCATCTAATCACTTTTTTCTCATTTCATTTGCATATTTGATTAATTTTCATCCTCACCCACTGCATTGTGTATGATTTCTATATTTGTCTAATTTTTACCTTTTTTTATTTTCTCTTCCACAATGGACGATACAGTTGGTGAGAGGTTTTTATATTTTGAACAGAAGCGAAATAAAATATATCTTTTCATATAAATATATATACATGTATATATGTATGTGCATTGCCTTAATATGTCGGTGAGAAGTATTTAACAGAGTGTACTGGTAGTTTATTATGCGCTATACTGCATGGCACCGTATAGGATTAGAAATTTACATGCATGTTGCTTTTTAGTAGACATCTGGCTTAGCTCAAACGTGTTTGTATCGCCTTTTCTGTTGTGGCAAAAGAACGATAACTCGTACTTTTTGCTATTGATTCGCAAGCCAGAGTTTTTGGTCCTTATGCTAGTGTGTCTATATATTTTTTCCTAAAAAAATTAATTCGTTTGTGATATACGTACATGTAGGCTTTTGTTGATTAGCATAGGTTTTTCATTAACATGTTGATAAAAATACAACATTTAGTTAAAAGGAAAAAAATAATGGAGTATTTTTAAAGGTTAAGAATAGATATTAAAGAGAATTATCAGACATTTATTCATTAATCCATATTGTGCATGTTTTGACTAGCTTATCTGTACATATCATGTAGTAAATGGTCAAATGTTGTAGCTTGTAACATAATCAAGATATCTACTTTCTATAAACCAAAATGTGATTTTTTTAGAGACAGGAAATTGGCAACGTTCTCAGTTCGACGACTTTATATGTAATTATGAAAGATGAAACTGGTTTTACAGAAATCCTATGTATTGCGCTGTCTTTTTCATCTCGTATATAAAAGATTTCCAATTCTGTTGAAGCAATGTGCTGCTTCTGACTACTGAATTAATTATTCGAGGAGGAAGTCTTCGATGTATCATATTAAACAGGAAGTGTACGAAATAAGCAGTATTGCTCAACAAAAATCAATAGTTTCCCTAAATCTAAAAAAAAAAAATTATATAGCCTTATGGGCAAAAGATGAAAGCTGTAGCAACGTTTTTTCAACGCTGGGTCCCAAAATACTGATAAGCAAAAACAAAAAAAAAAAAGAGAGAAGATAAATAAATAGAACCTAAGCTGCCCAAGCTTGAAAATCCTATTTCGAGAGGAAGGGGGAAGGGGGTAGGATCTTTCTCAAACTTTTCAATGCAAAAATATGCCAAAGAACTGCTACATAGCAACAATAAAATGTTTAGGGGATGGAAAAGCAGCCTTTAAATGAAAAATTTCAATTTAAGAACACAGCAAAATACTTTTCTTCAAAATGAGGGGACTGGCCCCGCCTTGTTCTGTGGGCCTGAAATGGGGAATACTTTTGCCACTTATCTGCTGCACATAAAGATATAGTAATTTACCGTGAACTTAATAGACTGGAAATACGTGATGGTTTTCCTACTATTTTTAGGATTTTATTTGTGTTTCATTAACTAAATGCCATCTGTTTTGTGTATCTGATTTGTAACGTAAGAAACTCTTACCTCGCCCCTAGCAATTAATTCTAATGACAAGCACTTTCTACCTGGATTGAACTGCTGATTTTAGATCCTATGAATCATTACTGCCTTTTCTTATGTCAGCTTTAAACACCAGCATAAAGCAAATTATTAAAACCCAAATCATTGCAAGTGGAGCGTCCTCATCAATTTTCAATGGTTTATACGTAATGATATTGAACATGCATTGTTTTTTCCAGTAAAAATCAAACAGAAGCTAGTTTACTGCACATAGTCACGTAACTTTTAATAAAAGATAGTTTACCAAATCGAAATAATTTTGTGTTGAACAATTAAAAAATGGCGTTTCCGGAATGTATCACTAATTGTCTAAATCGATGCGAGTTTGACGTCAGGAATCAGAGAATTCTCGTGATGAGGTTGTGATTGTGGACTCCAAGGCCGAGAGATGACACTGTGATTGTCGGGTTCTTAGATTTAATGAGGACGTTACTGGGACCTGATAGGTCTGAGAGGAATGATAGCAGGTATTGATGTTCTGATGTCGGAAAGCTTTGTATTCCTCCATTAATACTCGGTCTCTGTGGTAACGGGCCGATCGATGCCTCCCTCTTTGTCAACAAAAACTCACGCGTTCCCCAAGGAGGCAGACCAAAGAAGCGACTATTCTTGAAGGCATTACCTTTCCACATTTTGATCACTGTCTCTGCCTACGATGTGCTTTCGTCTGTGTCCATCCTTAAGTGATTGTGGTCTTTAATTACCGTCTATGATCTTGCTATAAGAATCACCTTTGTCAGTGATTTTCTCGAGAAATAGTTTGTCTTTCATCTCAAGTAACGAGATTTGTACTCTCTGATCCCTGTTCTAATGAATGAAAGCCTGTTCATACTCAGTTTCTATGACGATCAAAGAAGACAATTATGTGAAATCGAAAAAATAAGTTTTTTTCAAATTAAGTGATTTTATGAATTTTTTTAGAGAAAAATGTTTATGTCATAAATAAAGCACGGAAGAGAGAGAGAGAGAAAGAGAGAGAGAGAGAGTTTACCCCTTAAAATCATACCTTGAACCAAAATATCGTTCCATTTCCAAAAGGAATACATGTATTATCTTATTGAAGAAAACAATACCGGAATATGCCAAATCTGTCATGCATTGTGAGATTGAATATCCTTGAAATTAGTTGAAAACTCTCTATAGCTCTTTAATAATTAGCAAAAAAAGTGTTAGAAAGTTTTCTACTAATTTTCTTAGATATTCAATCTCATAATGCATAAACTATTTTAGCTAAAATTAAGTGTGATGTACGAAATATGTTAACAAGAACAACACCCGAAACATTGATGGTGTATGTAGAAAACAGAGGTACCTGTCAGTTAATATCAAAGAGAAGGGTCTTTAATGTGTTTATCCTGCTTTTTTTGTTTACAAATAGGCACCGAATATTTCTTTTATGTAGGTTTCTTCAATTCCAAAGAGTATATTTACTAGGTCGGAAATATACACTGTTATATATAGTATATACTGTCTCTGTAACATATTTTTATATATAGATCTACTTTATACTCTATATCATTACTTATGTCTGGCGTTTAATCGGAATCAATAACCACTCTTAACATTTTCACATAATAACATAAACACCAGAACAGAAGTACAGTTTTTTTGTCAAGAAGGAGCAGCGGGCACCTGCTAATTGGTAATTCGCGATTTGCTGAATGTGAATCACTTGTGGACCATGTATATATCGATCTCTCATCACAGTTTGTACGCGAACACCCGTATTGGCGACCGATTCACTTGTTACACAGGATTGGTCGCTGCTGTGATTTCAGCCGTGGGTCCAATCCGCAATTAGCATTTCCCAAAGTTAGCTCTCACTTCCTGTGCTACTCTGAGATTTGTTTTTCTGTGTTGACTTTGGAATTCTTAGAAATCTGGCAACCCAGTGTATAGAATGCGCAAGTGTGCGGAAAGATCAGGAATCTGCGGATAATTGTGGCATTTATTACTTCTCCAGGAGTCATTTTCTAAAACTTTCGTCAAAATGTAAGAAAAAGGATTGCAGATTCTCCGTCGAGGTTTAAACAATTACTATCGTTAACGAGACTTCGGGCTTCGATTGCTACAGAGACACTGGTGAAAAAAATTATAACTACTTCGTGACAACAAAGTCATTCACAGCTAATGTCAGGACCTTTGTGGCATACGTGTGACAGGATCTATAAGAAATATTAATGGCGCTAGTTTGTTTATAAAATACACAATTCTTATCTGGAATTAATATTCGCTGATATGGGAGCCATATACGACAAAGTATTGGATTCGGGTAAATTATTATGCTTACAATTTTTTCAAAAGGTTTTCAAATGTGTTCGAATTGTTTTCTCTTTTCGCTAATTTTTATCTCCAGTCGATGTCATACAGGTCAACGATAACAATGTCATTTATGTAACATTATGTCCGTTCTAATGCTTTTAAGTTTTTATAGCCTCATCTTCGACGATGGTTAAGAAAATTCTATTTGCTTTTTGACACCCCAGCAATATTTCACGTATATTAATTTGTGTATTGAAAGTCTGCAGGTGATGGCCTTTTCTAACACAACCGTGGAGCTGTAGAACTTGCGAGGATTGAGAATCGCACCCTTAAATCATAACAATACAAGGGACCAGAAAATTGAGAGAAGAACTTCACGATTTATGAATATTAATGTTATTTTTTCTCAGTGTTTTATAACTGCATGTGAAAAATCTATGCAGCATCTTTGTTTGATTTGGCGTTAATTTATTGTTTTAAAAATCAGAAACCTGTACAGCCGAAGGCGCGCTGTACCTGTACTTGATTGCAGGTGTCGTCAAGGTATGATATACTAGGACCTTACCGCCAGTTAAGTCACATAATTATTAGTATGATATATTGGGGCCTTACCGCCAGTTAACGCCCTTTAATCATTAGTATGATATACCGGGACCTTACCACCAGTTAACGCCCTATAATTATTACATGTAGTATTATATACTGGGGCCTTATCGCCAGTTAACACCCTGTTACTATTAGTATGATATACTGGGACCTTGTCGCCACTTAACGCCCTATAATTTTTAGTATGATATACCAGGCCTTACCGCCAGTTAACGTCCTATAATTATTAGTATGATATACTGGGGCCTTACCGCCAGTTAACGCCCTATAATTATGGTATGATATGCTGGGACTTTACCGCCAGTTAACGCTCTATAATTATAGTATGATATACTGGGGCCTTACCGCCAGTTAACGCCCTATAATTATAGTATGATATAATGGGACGTTGCCACCAGTTAACGCCCTATAATTATAGCATGACTTACTGGGGCCCTACCGCCAGTTAACGCCTTATAATTATTAGTTTATCGGAAAAGTGATTTTATCAGAGAACAGAGTTTATTAAATGACTCCGGGTATTAAATACAATATTAATCCACCTCTCTGTTTAAATACGATACCCAGTATTATTTTTTCATGCAAATACTGACTTTCATTAAAAAAAAATAGATATACTGATGGATATTGTGTTTCAAGGTTTGAATTATGCTGTTGTTCAATAAAAACAACAAATAATTGAAAAGGCTTTTATATACCATACTTATTGAGTTACATCTCTCTCTCTCTCTCTCTCTCTCTCTCTCTCTCTCTCTCTCTCTCTGTATGTGTGTGTGTGTTGAACTCGGGAAGAGAAATAGTTTATCGACTTTTGAATAAAATCTTGTTTACAAAATCAATTTTATAAACTGTGAATTACTGGTAGTAGCGTTTATTAGTCATAATTGATTGGCGGTTTGTATGCTTCCTACCAGCTGTTTGATATTAGGCACAGCACGATCGAACAACAGATATACTCGAAATATATATATAAACTCTTCAGTTATCTTATCAGTTTGAGTCCAAAAAATAAAAATTGCAGCAATATACTTTTTTTTCAGTTACATTTGTTAGACCGACTTTAGACTATAATTTGTGAGATGTTAAAATTTGCCTAGCTGCATTGTGCTGCTATTTTTTTTCTGATAACTACGTACTTCAAATTGTAGACATTTCTTTTGGCTTTAAGCCTTCTGACTTCAAATAGTTTCTGTGTTCGTCCAATTAAGGATAATTTGGTCGTTATAAAGGCAAAGAATAAGAAAAAAATCAATTCCACTTGCTTGAAGACGCCGATCCCGGACTTTTTCTGTATCCAGCGGCTCTTTTTTTTTCCTGAGATCCGTGTCTGAGCTAGAGATGAGACAGTAATACTGTAGACGTCATTATTGGTCATTATTCCAGCTATAGTCTCGTGTTTATGGGTTTGAACTCTTCTGAATGACAGATAAGCAGGTGCGTCTCAGCAAAGAATATGTATTCTAGAAACAGGAGTACATATACGCAAAGTTCTAAATTTCCATCTCAATGCTGTTATTAGTTCTTCTCAAGATTTGGGGTGGATAGTTTAACAGTCGTCCCATGAAACTTTTTGTCTGACTTATAAATCATGCACACATTCCAAAACCGGCAGTGGAATGCTCTAGCACATGGCTGTAGGAACCGGGGTGGGTGGGGGGTTGTTAATTTTGCAGATATATGATATACTTCTTTTATTGATGTGCCCCCTCATTAATTACATGTAATGACCTTTTTTGTCAAGATATATTTGCTTGCATTTGGTAGTGCCCCTCCCAAACTGAAAATGTTTGGTTAACCCCCCCCCCCCCAACTGAAATTGTTCCCCACGGGCCTGTAGAGTTTTAAACAGTATGACATATTCTCCTGTAAACTTTGGACATAAAAATGATTATTGAAGCTCAGTGAAGATTCAGAAAAGAGATTTTTCATTCGGTAGGATTTTATAAACCAGAAACTGAATTATGCCTATTCTTTACATGTATACCTGGTACTAGATATTCATGGGGAACGAAACGTAGAGACCAAATTTATCGTTGTACTTCTGGGTTGTTTTTGTATCGGTGACATCTTATTTGTTGATCTACCGATATCTACAGCAGCTTCCGAGTGCAGAGCTAGCGCGGCAACAGATTAACAAAAACTTCCGTGATACCGACAGTTTGCTTATTGTGAAGCCTCAGCCAAAAAGAAGACTTTGGCACCAGGCAGAAATTATTTTCTTAAATTTGTTTTTATTTTTGGATTCATATCAGTTTAGTTAAAGACAAATAGAACGTTTAGAAATTAGTTATCGATAGAAAATCTTGTATACTTTTTAATCACCTATTTTTTTTTCTACTTACAGATTAATAGTTTCATTTTCAAACACGCGTAAGCTTGTTCTGCACAGTCAATTAAAAGTGACAATAATTGTTCACTAAAAATCCAACAAAGCTTCAGAAGTACTTGATTAGATAGAAACATACGTACACACATTGAATCATATTAGTTACTACAGGTATTCTCTTTCACTTTGCCAGATAGTATTCAATGTACTGATTATAAAATAGGCATGGCTAATTTTGGACTGTATTTTTTAAGATTTTTTTTATCCTAGCTTTTTCTTGTAGAACAGTGATATGGACTTGTACTAGTCACTACGTGAGTGACTTCTGAGAATGATGCTACAGTGGCAATGGATTGCCTGGCAGATGAAATCTTTTAATGACGTCTTTCTTTCCTGTTTCAGATCATGACTTGGAGGATTTGGAAATGCAAGTGGTTCGTTACAAACCGGAAGGGCTTGAAGTTCTGTGCCGGAAGTCCAAGTTCAGCAAGAAAGAACTCCAGATCATGTATCGCGGCTTCAAACAGGTAGAATGTATTTGTGAGATTTCATAGATGTCGTCAAACCGTCGTGTCGCCAACACGCACAAATTATTTAAAAGAATGTTATTATTAATTTATAAATTTTTGCTTGTAAATATTCGCGATACGTTTGAACATTGAGCCATTCGTTTGACTGTTTGCTATTTTAGAAAATGATTTTTATACAGTATCGTATAATCCGGGTCTCTATGTATAAACTATTAAGTAGTGAACGAATGGTTCAAAAAGCTGCTTAAGCTTTATTATTGTTGTGTAAATTGTATTGATTACTGTTATGGTTATTTCCTTCACCACGGGCTAAAGAAGCATGTTCATCTTTACTTCAATCCAAGACACCACAGGCCTTAATCAAAACTGAATTAAAACCAAAATGGATTTCCCATAGGTCGTCTATGTATATTGTGGCCTATTTCTGCCCTCTAAGCCCTCTATATTCAAGTTATTTTTCTCTATTTTATGTCGACATGCAAGATAATTATGTCAACATGGAACATAAATATGTCAACATATTGGCATGCAAAAATAAATAAATTAATCAGATAAGAAAATATTGAAAATTTTCATACATCATCAAATATCGCCTATATTGTGACTTCCAACTTGGAACTTGTATGTCAACATATTAGTTGCATGTCAACATAAATAAGTTGCATGTATGCCGACGTAAAGAAGATGCAACTAGCATGTCATGTTGGAAGTCACTTGTAGGCGATATTTGATAATTTATGTAGTTTACATGAATGTAATGTATATATGTTTGACTAAGTTTTTCCAATGTATTGCAGCATGCAGACTCCATATACCACACACCTTCCCTAGCCGTACATTTCATTTTGTAATAGACTATCCAACATTGTAAACAAGCAATCATGATATTGTTCGCTTTGCTTGCGCTTCAAAGAAACTTTTACTGAAGCGAGCTATCGTTAACACTTAATGATAGACCCTAACTCATCTTTGAAGTTTCTTAATTACAGGAAGTAGTTTCTCTATTGAGCGCAGAACGCTTGCGCGACAATCGATAACGCTGGAATATCGAGGATTATGTCATTTCCAAGAGGAACAATATTTCATAAATAAATACAACATAAATACTAAATTAAATGATCTATGAAAAAAAAATCATGTGAATTTTACTTCATTTTAAAATGTACATTAATATAAAATATTTTTTAAAATCACGATATAGCTTCTTTTTTTCCCCTGGTGGTACTTCTACGAGTGACATTCTTCTCGCAATATCAGGGGTGTCTGTTTTATGAATATTGAAGTTTATTTAGCTTGTATGTGATGTTGTATTTCTTGCATATTAACAGTAAAATAACGTGATATTGATTTTGTTTTTAGTTATTTTCATTTAATCCTCTGTGTAAACCCCTTCTTAGAAATTTAGAGTGTTTTGAAAAAATCGAAATTCACAAGAAACATGCAGATACATTTTAAATTTCCTTTATCTGTATTGGATTCAGAATAAAGTTTTCTCATTCCTCGGCGGGAGTTTCCAGCACAATTAATTTAATCATTCTTTGTTTTAGTTCGTCGGTTCAGCACAGAGCAAGCTTTACCCCCCCAGAGATTCTCTGAAATGATCTATGTCTACGATCAATTACAGATCTTGCTTTAAATTCATGTGGTTATATTTTTACAAACACAACAGCTTTAATTTGCCAATGTCACGATTATGTGCAGGAAATAAAATAAAAATGACGACTTCCCTTTGCACTAGCAGTAGTTGTTATTTGAACATTGTATGGCAAGCTAAACAAACCCGCAGCAATAATTTGTTGTTACGTTCTTGACTTTTTACCCTGTTCTTTTTCCCTATTAATTTGTCTCATTTGGAGATCGATGGAGCATCAATTGATTCCACTCCTCTAGGTCCTCTGTTCTGACGTGAGGCTAAATTTAATTTTCCTCCTGTAATTCGACAATCTCTCAGGGCAAATTTCTCCTTGAATGGGGTCTCTAAACACAACAGACTATTTCCACATTTCATGGGTTTCTTTTAGAAATTCCCACACTATTCCCTGAAACCCACCAGTCCCTCAACAGAAGTTTTTGAAATGATTCTCATGTAGAAGTTGGAAATTGTATAAGAAGGCAAAGGATTGCAGTATCTATGTCTTGCATTGTCTTTTCACTGTATGAAAAAGACAAACCAAATAAACTTTATTCATTAAAAATACGTCCATGTAGAAAAAAAGCTATAAATTCTTCTGACAATGGAAAGTCGGAAGTAATTTAAAATTACCATCCCCAAAATGAATGAATGAAATAAAGTAATTAAGTGTAGTCCTCAGAATGAATACATGAAAAAAAGTAATTAAGTATCGTCCTCAGAATGAATACATAAAATAAAGTAATTAAGTATCGTCTTCAGAATGAATACATAAAATAAAGTAATTAAGTATCGTCCTCAGAATGAATACATAAAATAAAGTAATTAAGTGTCGTCCTCAGAATGAATACATAAAATAAAGTAATTAAGTGTCGTCCTCAGAATGAATACATAAAATAAAGTAATTAAATATCGTCCTCAGAATGAATACATAAAAAATGATTCAGAAGACTCCTTCAGTCAGTTTTGGAATTACGATATCTTTGATCATTGTATTATACTTTAACAAAATTGTTATGTATTTGATGTTATCTTACTAGATTTTGTGCTGAATATCTCTTCAGTGTCATGTTAGTCATATACCACCCCTACGTGCAATTTACATTTATACCTTTAACAAGTGATTACGATTTGATATGCTTCCAAAGGTTTGAGGCACTCAAAAGCATGTTTTTATATCACGTCTTGAGTTTTTAATAGCTGTCTGGTTTTTAAATTTAAACAAGCATTCTGAGAGTATTGCATTAGCAATACTAGTCCCCTACCGGCAAGTGTAATCTGGTTCCCGTTAAGAATTGAAAATACCATAATTCCGTCAAAAATCAATGAAGCGGGCCGAAATGCAAACTTGATCTGTAACTCATCAAGATACACTCACATACCAAAAATCAGCTCAATATCTGAAAGCGTTTAGAAGAAAATTGCGGAAAACCCCTAAAAATTGAAAAGGCCATAATTCCGTCAAAAATCAATGAAGCAGAACGAAATGCAAACTTGATCTGTAACTCATCAAGATACACTCACATACCAAAAATCAGCTCAATATCTGCAAGCGTTTAGGAAAAAAGTGCGGAAAACCAAGTGGGACAGACTGACAGACAGACAGAGGGACAGACAGACAGACAGACAGACAGACAGACGGACAGACAGACAGACAGACGGACAGACAGACGGACGGACAGACTCAGTGGAAACCTATAGTCCCCTCCGGTTTCACCGGTAGGGGACTAATAAAAAGATTGCTTCCATGTAAACTGAGATTTCATGAACACTTCATATTCAGTTAAATTATTTGGAGTATTCGAAAAAATGCACTAATGCTTTAGCATTACAAATGTAAAAAATTATAAACAGTCTAAATAAGGCTATGTGCTTTGTTTTTGTCTCTTATCGATGTTTTGAGAAAATAAAAGTGATGAATGTAGATAAGTTTGTTTCAAAAACAGCGCCTTTCTTCTACAGGAATGTCCTACAGGAATCGTCAACGAGGAAACGTTCAAGGAGATCTATGCACAATTCTTCCCACAAGGCGGTAAGTACAAAACGGGAGAGGATCCAAATTTTTCAGGAGAGGTGTGCACTTCAGATTTGAGATTTTTTTTAAATTAATGGTATGATGTATAAATACATATCTATTGATGAAATGCTGTGTTTTCAGATTCCAGTGCTTACGCCCACTACGTGTTCAACACTTTCGATCACGATCGAAACGGCTCTCTTAGTTTTGAGGTATGTGTCATATAACCATTTCAAATTGTCATATAAGTAAACCATTATCAAGTCTAATGTTCAAAGTGTCATATAAGTAAACCGTTATCAAGTCTAATGTTCAAAGTGTCATATAAGTAAACCGTTATCAAGTCAGATGTTCAAAGTGTCATATAAGTAAACAATTATCAAGTCTAATGTTCAAATTGTCATATAAGTAAACCATTATCAAGTCTTATGATCAAAGTTTCACATTAGTATATTATTACAAAGTCAGTTGTTCAAGATCATAAAATTCCTCAAATTTTTGGTGTACTTCCCTCTCTTAGGATGTTTTAGTTTGAAAGTATAATACCCCCCAAAAAAAAATGATTAAGATAAACGAAACAAAATTCCAGTACTAGAAATTTACTCAAACAGATCACTTTGGTGCAATGATATACATGTGAATCATATTACTAAGGCATGACACCCCCATTCCAACCCCCACCCCCCGTTCTTGACTGTTTTATAGAAATTAATCGCCGTGAAAAAGCTAATGGTAAAAATGGAGGCAACTGATGTTACTGGGGGAGTTATTGATATGTTTGTGAAATGCTGGGTTTAAAAATTGATGGGAGCTAGGTCTTTTTTAATGGATTCTATAATAAGGCAACACAGCTTAGAATCTCATTTATAATGAATGGCTGTAGAAGACTAATGAATTTCCTGTCATCATTATTTCTCGGATTCCATTACTTTTAAGTGCTACTGAGTAGGTTATTTTATTAACTCTATCACTGTTTTTGTAACAGAGAATAATTATGGTTAGAAGGTTGTGTTTGTTGGAATTTTTCCCCCTTTACTTTCGTATTTAACTTTTTTTATAGGATATATTTCCTGATTCTAAGAATTCAGTTAATTCCTTCGAGGTTGCTGATTCAGTATAGACCCATTATAAAATTCCATCAACCACGAACCTGTTTGATTTTAAAACAAAAAAAAATAGGCACGAACCTTTTCAATTGCACAAAAGCTCAACCATGAACATTTTCCATTGTAAAAAATTCAGTCATGATTGAGACCTATCGTGAAAAGTACAAACACTAGCCTGTCTCATTATTAAAAAAAAGTTTAAGAATGATCCTCTCACACAGTAAAAGTTTAACCATGAACTTGTTTCATTGTAAAAGTTAAACCATGAACCTGTTTCATGGTAAAAAGTTAAGCCATGAACTTGTTTCATGGTGAAAAGTTAAACCATGAACCTGTTTCATGGTAACAAGTTAAGCCATGAACTTGTTTCATTGTAAAAAGTTAAACCATGAACCTGTTTCATGGTAACAAGTTAAGCCATGAACTTGTTTCATTGTAAAAATTTAAACCATGAACCTGTTTCATGGTAAAAAAGTTAAGCCATGAACTTGTTTCATGGTAAAAAGTTAAACGATGAATGCATCCTTTTTATTGTAAAAAGTTAAACCATGTTTCCACCATCGAACTGTCCCATTATAAAAAAAAATTCAACCATGATCCTGTCTCATTGTAAAAAGTTCAACTATGAATTTACTTGTTCCGTTGTAAAAACATCAAACACTGATCATGATCCATCGTAAAAAGTTCAACCATGATCATGATGTATCGTAAAAAGTTCATCCATAATCATGATCCATCGTAAAAAAGTTTTTAAAAAGTTAAAAAATGATCCTGACACGTCGTAAAAAGTTCATCCATAACTCTGTTCCATATGTCGAACCAAAGGCCCGAAGGAAGCAATTTCAGTCGGGGGGGGGGGGTCAAAAACATTTTTCGGGGGTCACTACCAAGCAAAAATTCCTTGACAAGCAAAAAAAAAAGGCATGAGACATTGTTATTGAGGGGGAGGGGGCACAAGCATAAAGTAGCTATGTTTTATATGGTATACTTTATATCGGCTAAATTATCGGGAGAGGGGCAGTCTCTCTTAACGGCTAAAGATTTGGGTTGGCCGATTATTGATCAGTGACGGATGAGGCGGGGAAATTATTCAATCGAACCCTCTCCTTCTTAGCTTAAGTGGAGTTATATGGAAGCGAAGTTCTGAGTTTTGTTTTGCGTCTACCAGTTCCCTTTTATTGCAATGTTTCCTTTAATCATCTGGATAAACATTTTTTTGTAGCGTTTGAGGGGAAATGAAATATGGTGAATTTACTCTTAGTCCAACCATTAGTTATCAGATAATTTTTTCTGTTTAAATACGTAATGGAGTGAATATCCTCACATTGCTAATATCTGTGATTCCCAGATAAAAGTTACACAACACTCCTGATCAAAAACGACAAAAATCTGAATAAAAGCTGACCAAAAGCCTTCCGAGTAGCTTTCGCCATTTTCTAGACCTATTTAGTATTAGCTTAAAAAAATCAATAGGAAGTGCTTTAGAAAGTCGTATCCACATTATACGGAATCAGATTCAGTAGGGAAATCGTAATGAAATTGGACAAGCTATCAGATATTTTGCGATGCATGAAAATCTTTTTTTTCATGTAGAATGAAGCGATGACAAGGAGATAGGACATTACTAATTAAATCTTTGTCGGTATCCGTTTATATCAGGTTGGAGATTCAAGGACTTTTGGCCCATGGCGTAGAACCATCCAGATTTGATAAACATGAATACCGCCTCTTTGTCTCTTGAGCCCGATCCCGTAGAATTTTTTTATTGTCATGAATTACACGTATGTCAAATTAAGATGTTCACTATAAAACAGTTTTGCTTTACGTTTTGATGTGTACCTTTCACATCTCATCTGACGTATGAACCTTTTTGTGTCGTTTGCTTGCAAGAGGGGTGTGATATTTCGATGCGAATTCTCACGATATTTTATGTCGGCATATTTAATTATTCCATAAAAGATACAGTGAGTCATAATCATCGATTTATTTAATGAGATTTGCATCAAAAATGAAAATATTTATCAAAAGTATCAGTATAGAGAAGTTTTGACAGATTCTGCTGCACTGTAAAGCTAGAAAAGAGTGCAATATAAGAGCCGGAAAAACAAAGGTTGTATCAACGTTTTTATCGTCTGTGTCAAAATCACGTGACTTCTTTTTAGCGTAAAAACTCATATGCAAAGGTGGAGAACATGTTCTGATTATCTTTTTAGAAGATTCTGTCAAAAATCCTCAGTATACCGACATTGCGCTTCTGGGGACTTGAGGTCACGGATAGTTTGTTTATGTTTTCTGCTCCGTGTGCAATCAGGAGGGAGAGGCTACATTTTTGTGCTATTTTCGCAACAGATTTTAGTTCACCTGAACTGAAAGCTCAAGTAAGCTTTTCTGATCACCCGTTGTCCGGCGTCCGTCCGTCTGTAAACTTTTCACATTTTCAACTACTGGGCCAATTTTAACCAAAGTTGGTACAAAGCATTCCTGGGTAAAGGGGATTCTAAATTTTTAACATGAAGGGGAAAACCCCCTTCAAAGGGGAGATCATTTTAAAAAAGGCAGAAATATAGGGTGGGGTAATAAAAATCTTCTTTTCAAGAACCCCTGGGCTAGAAAAGCTGAAACTTACGTGAAACCTTCCTGAGGTAGTGTAGATTCTAAATTGTAGCTTCCGGGGTAGGGTGGGGCCACAACAGAGAATCAAATCTTTACATTGAAATATATAAGAAAAATCTTTTAAACATCTTCTCAAGAACCACTGGGCCAGAAAAGGTGAAACTTATGTGAAAGCTTCCTCAGTAGTGTAGATTCTAAATTGTTCAAATCATTGAACCCTTTGGGAGGATGGGACAACAATAGGGAATCAAACTTGCATAGGATTTTTTTTTTTTTAAAAAATCTTCTTCTCGAGACCTGCTAGACCAGAAAATATGAAATTTTGGTGAAATCTTCCTAAGGTGATGTAGGTAATGTAAATTGTTCAGATCTTGATCCCCGGGGGTAGGGTTGAGCCATAATGAAGAAATCAAAGATTAACATTGAATATATAGAAAAGTATTTTTAAATCTTCTTCTCAAGAACCACTGGACCAGAGAAGCTGAAACTTATGAGAAACTTTTTTAGGTAGAGTACATTGAATATTGTTCAGATCATGGTCACAGGGGGTAGGATTGGGCCACGATAGAGATTACATAGCGAAAAATAAAATTCTCTACTCAATAACGGCAAAGCTATGATGAATCATATTTATGTGGAGGCGTCCTCTGGCAGTGTTATGCATTTTTGCTGAAATCATGGCCCCTTGTGAATATGGTAGGGCCACAAAAGACGATCAAAATAATACATAAGAATACATGTATATTGGGTAAAAAATCTGATGCAGAACAACAGGGCCAAAGTGACTCAGGTGAGCGTTGTGGCCAATAGGCCTCTTGCCTGAATTTTTTTAAAAAAATTAATGCTTGCAAAAACATGCAAAACTTCTATTTTTTTTCAATTGTATCGCTTTTGTGTAACTGTGTCTCTTTAAGTCATACAAATGTACTTGTAAACCTGTTTACACACATGCTGGTATGTAGGTTATCGCTTTACACACCAAACAACAGACACTTCAGCTATTCCTTAGGTAGTACTTAAATTATTCCTGATGCAAATTCAACTTGATTCACAAACATCCATATGAATTATGCACAGCACATAAAACAGACTGTCAATTAAATAGAATAATTAAGGGAAAATGCCAGAGATCTTAACATAAAGGTTCGATAAATGAAATCAAAGTCAAATCTATCAAGGTCCCTCTTTTAAACAAAATTGACACGTACAGTTGCCCGCATATAAAGAAAAAATAAAATATAAAGTTTTTACGAATATATAAGTAGGTATAACAAACTTTCTTAAAAAGTTTGTATATTGATTTTATCCCGGTCCGTCCATCCGAATGTCATACTTCTTTTTCACTCAGACCCCTCTTACAATTTTTAAAGCATTAACCAATTCAACTTTTGGAATACATTTCATGGTGTCCTATCAATGAACAATAGGTTTTTAGAATTTTCATTTTCCTCAAGGAGCTAATATTTTATTCTGATTTCATTTATAAAAAATATTGAAAATTTGAATTTGTGAAAGGACTTGCGGTATTAAATAATTGTTGTACGCGTTTGAGATGGGACAATTGGTACATTTTACTGTTGTAAAAGTTTATGATGGTACTATCGGTATATAAGTTTGATGGACTATCGGTATATAAATTTATGATGGGACTATCGGTTTACTGTTGTAGGAGTTTATGATGGTACTATCGGTATATAAGTTTATGATGGACTATCGGTATATAAGTTTATGATGGACTATCGGTTTACTGTTGTAGGAGTTTATGATTGGACTATCGATATATATAATTACTGTTGTAAGAGTTTATGATGGAACTTTCGGTATATAAGTTTATGATGGACTATCGGTATATAAGTTTGTGATGGACTATCGGTTTACTGTTGTAGGAGTTTATGATGGGACTATCGGTTCATATTAATTACTGTTGTAGGAGTTAATGATTGGACTATCAGTATATATAATTACTGTTGTAAGAGTTTATGATTGGATTTTCGGTATATATAATTACTGTTGTAAGAGTTTATGATTGGATTTTCGGTATATATAATTACTGTTGTAAGAGTTTATGATTGGACTATCGGTTTATCATTACTGTTGTAAGAGTTTGTGATGGGACTTTCGATATATCATTACTATTTGTAGGAATTTGTTATGGGACTATCAGTATTATCTAGAGGAACTCTCCAGGAGCGGTTACAATGGGCTTTCAATTTGTATGACATTAATGGCGACGGTTTCATCACCAAAGACGAAATGACAGACATAGTGTCAGCCATTTACGAGATGATGGGGCGCTTCTCAGAACCTATGATTGACGAGAACACCGCCAAGGAACATGTGGAACGAGTCTTTCTCGTGAGTTATTTATTTATTTGCTTTTGGTTCTTAATTCTGTTTAGGGATATTCATAAATTGGAAATTTTATCGGAAAGACCGACGACATGTCTGTAATATCAGAACAGAGATAAGAAATATTATTATCGATTTAACTCAAACGATCTAGCATACTGTACTTTTTTTTATAAATACTGTTTATATTCGGCTTTAAGAATGGAGGACGTGATTGTTCTTGTAAACAAAGTACAGTAGGCTGTATTTCCCATCCTTGTTTTGTCTTTCTAAACAAGTCCCATCTTCCGTTTCTTTGTAATATTGGTACACTCCTACGCACACCATTCCATATGAAAGCCAATCTGATTTAGATGGTAAGTCAGATATCCGATATGTGCCCGGAAATAATGTGAACGACCGAATGTAAAATTGGCATCAAGTAACCAAGACATTAATGCATCTATCGGCTGTTTACATGTAATGCTTATTTTGCAGAAAATGGATACCAATCGAGATGGCGTTATTACATTTGACGAATTTATGGACACATGTCGGAGGGTAGGTATTGTTGATAGGTCGACGTCGTGTAATGTTCGACGTTGTCTATAATATTAGAAAGTGTGAAAGGAAGTATGCCGAATAGGTCGACGTCGTTTATGTATATGTAAATAAATCCTGAAAGGGAATTATGGAGAAAAGGTCGACATTGTTTTTATTTTGTGACGGTGTTAAAGGGAGTTGAACAGAAAGATACCTCCTTTCTCCCGGCCCCGCACATCTATTTTTTAAATGAATGGGGCATATATACATATTGTAATCAAAGACGTCGTGTACTGTAACACACATTCCAAATGTTCTTAATTTTTAAAAAATTTATATGGAACGATTTGTTATTTATAAATTTGATCCACAATTTGATTTTGTTACTTCTACGAGCGTACATACTCTCTGAGAATAAGGACGCCTGAAGAATGTATAACACTAGTCAAATATTTCTTTAAAACGTCAACTAGTTGTTCTTCTACGTCATAGAGAGATTTTAAAAAGTTCTAAGACGGCTATGACTATTCATTACTTAATTAGGTAGATGAAAATCCCACAATTCTGTTCGACTTCATTTCAAACTCTTAAGTTTATCTCGTCTGCAAATTTATTTTAATAACCTGCACGACATTAATCTGTTTAATTTTTAAACCGTCCTCTATCATGCAATTTCCTGAAGTCTAAAGGTTGGTAATATTGTTAGCGTATGCTTCCAAGTGCCAGATCAGTAGACAAGCTTTATCTACGCCAAAAATATTATGATGAAATAATATGAAAATGATGTTTATTATAACGTTTTGTATATTTCATGCGAAAGATTACGTTTGTTAGATAGAATTTCCTAGAATAATGGCCTCTAAATAATTTAAAATCTCATTAACAGAAATTAAATCTATCATTTATTGGTTTAAAACGATGTTGACTTTTAGCTTTGATATAGGCGGTCCTGTCAGTTTGATTAACATTGCAACACTTGTAAGTCTTCAGATCGATACTGGTCCACTAATTATTATTGATACCGGCGTTTATAAAACCATGGAGACAGGGGAAATGCTGTCTTGGTAATTCCTCATGGTTTAGTTGATATCCGATAACTCTTTTGGGAGGAAGAAAATGGCTAACGTCGTCTCAATTACGGAAGGAAATCCCTATTTCTATCATTGGAATATGGCCACTTTGAAATCTGATAACGGGCAAATGATTTACTGCTTCAGAGAAACCTTTTTTTTTTCTAAAGAAAATTTGTAAAAGGTGTTTATATAACCAGCCTCTTATTTTATATGAGAGTTTCTGATCATTTGATACAATTATTTGTAAAATGTTATGTATAAATTTATTAATTGAATATTAAACAAAATGAGGAGCAAATGTAACACTAACGGATCGGTTTAAAATAGACAAGAAGTCGTATAAAAGAATGAGTATGTGTATTGTATAATAATCTGAAAAACTACGGCCTTAAGTCGATTGGAGTACAACATTTCATTTAATTTGAATAAGTTCACTGTGATAAATATAATTTCTCTGCATTTTAGGATGAAAATATAACCAAGGGAATGGCTATTTTTGACACAGTCCTTTAACAATGATAACGGTTCCATCAGATGTTAGAACCAAAACTCTTTGGGTTGTTTTCTTGCCAAGGTGATTGATACAAAAATAACCTGATGTTTGTATGCGGAATACTGAATAACAAGATTGTGGTGGAAACATTGCCAAAATAAGCTCACTAAATCCTTTCCAAGTCCACAAGACCAATCAATGTTTGTCCATATCTGCACTTCCGGTTTGTTTACAAGGGGGCGGAGCCTGGCAGATAGATGCCTTTTGTTCACCGAGATCTAGTTTTAACTCCAGTAGTGTGGGAGGTTGACGTTTTGACTCCCTTTTAGTTATGGTTAAGCCTGGAATCGAAATAGCCATGAATTCTACCAATCAAATTTCATCACAGTAAATATTAGTTTGTAGCATTTTAGCTTATTGAGCTGCCTGTGCAAAAAGACATTCGATTGTTTCATGGCTTTCTTAAGGCATGATCTATAACATGCCTTTTATGGATGGTGCAATTCAACGAGTTGTATTCAAGAATGAAATGCATGTATTTGAAAAAAAATCAAAAAAATTTCAAGAGGGCATCTTTGCACTGGGCAGTTCAAATAAATATTTAACTTGTATGCGTAATAAAACAAGACATTATACTCGATCACAGTATGATTTTTTCATCATTCATTGTGGAAAAAAAACATTTATAATTCTTGTATCAACCTTATGGTTAGTTGTACGAATTTCATTTCATTTGTTCAGTTGTTAAATGTCCTTGTTATATTTGTTTGATAGACAATTAATTACAAACTCTATTTATTATTTATCTTTGTTCAGAATATTGCTTACAAATATTGAGGCCAGTGTACAATTTCGGTGCATATTTGTTGAATTATTTAGTGAAATCAGCTATAATGAAACCCTTAATTTTTTTCTCTCTGGATGTTCAGACAAGATTAACTTCATTGAGATTTGAATAGCAGTAATGCCTCAAGAAATACATATACAAAGAATATAGCTTGGATCTTCTTCATTATCTACTCTTTCAACATGGCCTTTTAACCAGCAAATCTACTGCAAAATATGATTTGTTATACCATGTGATTGATTGTTACCATTGCATTTGTAAGACTAAATGTAATTGGTTGTTACCATTGTTAGACTAAATGTAATTGGTTGCTACGATTCTGTGATTATCAATAGACATTCCTACCGTTTACCATGACATTAAACTGTAGACATAACCTATAACCTTTGTCAAGTTAACCTTTAACCTATGTAGTATGTTATTTATAAATTAACCCTTGTGTCAGAATTATCATGAAAGTATCCCACGTTTCCATTTCTTTATCGTTTCAATGTACTTTTTAAAGTATTGGAAATTATTGTTGCCAATAATAAAACGTTCTAAAAGCCAGTGCTCTTTAATTGCTTTGTTTTATATTTTATCTCTGCACAGCCTGGAAATATGTTTGATTGCCAAGTCAGTGAAAATCAATTTTAACAGCAGGCGTTCAAGAGAAGCAGAAATAAAAAATAAGAATCAGATCGGAAATTGGTTTAAGCTGTATACGCCGAGAGTTTAATGCACATCAGTAAATTTCCTTGATTTTTACTTGTATGGAAAATGGATATTATACAAAATTGATGATGCCGCACTTGTAGGTGTTATTTTTAACAGTAAATGGCAAGGCGACCTCTAATTATCATTGATGGTTATGTGTGTGGCAGACGACAGTTTATGTAGAACACGAACAAGACACATTAGGAATTGTGCATTAGGGACAGACTGACATGGTAACCACTTGACAATCTCTACACTAACAGGCTATCATCTAATATAAAATCGAACAAATGCCATCGATAAGAAAATCTTAGAATTTCTGGAGGATAGCAATTCCTATAGGTGTTTATTAGAGACACTCCTCATCAAATTCACAAACACAGTGTCCAGATTGTTCACATTGCCTACGAGGTATACATTATTTAAAGTTTTGTTTGTTGTTAAACGTACCTCTCGAGAATTTTTCACTCATATGGAGACGTCACCACTTCCTGGTGGAGAGCTGCAAACTTTGACCTATACTCGGCACTCAGGGCCATTGAGCAGTGAGGGATCTTTTTCGTGCCAACACCTACTGCGACACGGGACCTCGGTTTATACGGTCTCATCCGAAGGACCGGTCTCTACGTCCCACAGTGGGACTCGAATCCGCGACGTAAGGATCAACTCCTTACTCCACGACTCTAGAGCAGACACTCTACCACTGCCACGCCATGCGGGCGGCATTCTGTAAGTAAAATAGAGCTATGATGTGTACATCTATCTCTCCAATATCAGTGTCTACTGACACGGTATATACAGAATACACGTCCAATATTCATTATGCAAATCCAATATTAGCTACAAGGTAAGTTAGATTGCCCATTCAATATCAGTGTTAACTGATAAGGTATACAGAATACAATATATACATCTATGTTTATCCAATGTTAATAAGTATACATTATGCAAGTCGAATACTAGTATTGGCTATATAGTACACAGATTTACCATATAAAGAATGTTTATTTAGTATAACATTATGCAAATCAAAACTATATTCGAAGTATACCGAATGTCCAATACCACTGAACACTGACAAGGTATGCAGAATACAATATATCTAATATTACTTTAAAATAAGTATATATTATGCAATTCGAATTTTCAGGTTCACAAAGTATCCCTCCAACATAAATGACTACTACATGCAGCATGCATGAATATTAATCATTAGATATACATTATACATATCTAAAATTTTCTTTGAGGTATACAGACTGTCTAATATCAGACAAGGTATACACAGTGTCTGTTACAGAATCGGTAGCTATTGACAAGGTATACACAGTGTCTTTTACAGAATCAGTAGCTATTGAAAAGGTATACACATGTCTGTTACAAAATCAGTAGCTATAGACAAGGTATACTGACTCTCCGTCCAAAAAATTACCTTGAAAAATTAAAGACTTCAAAGATGTAATATATTTAGTCCCATCATGGAGCTGAATGATTGATACAGGGGTCATGAATTTTATAATTTGGTAAAGGACTAGGTTTGATTTATAATTATAGGTAAAGTTTTTCTGCTAAGTAATCAAGGGGAAAAGAAGACGATGTTCAAGTAGGTTATGTATTTTCAATATATATGACCATCTCAACCCTATTCTACGGCCTAAACAACGGGGTCATGAATTTCACAAGTTTGGTACAAGGATTAAGTATTCATTATAAGTATAACAGCTAGCAGTCCATAAGTGAAGAGGATCTTGTAAGAAAATGCATTTTCCATATTTAATCAACATGATCAACTTATATCTCTATTCTGGAGCATGCGCATGAACCCTGAACGCAGGGGTTATGAATTGCAGAATCGTGGAAAATGGCAATTTTTTTTTTATTTCCTTCTTTGCCAATAGAAATAGTTGAAGCTTCCAGAAAAAAAATCTGAAAATTTCCAGAAGTTAACGACTGACGGACATTGAATACTAGCATGACGGACGACGAAAAATAACAGCAGATCGTCTGAGTATGAACGAGTTTCAATGTGGAAGTTTAAAGAAAAATATACAGACACTGAAAGTTGTCCATAATTTCAAACATCAGCCCTACCATTTAAACTCCCTTTCACATTAACATTCAGTGTAAATTACTCCAGGATCTCCATAGGATTTTTAACAGGATTTTTTTCTCAATTATAAAATAATCCGCCTTCTATATCATCGCATAGGCTGCATTATAGGCGGTACTATACGTATGTAACTTAACTCGGTGACAGAGAATTTTTATCCCATTTGGTTACGGAAATCCTCAATTACAGTATACTTGTAACTTTGTACTAGCTCTATAACAAAATACACCTAAAAAACAAACAAAACCTCATCGATGCAGAGAAAATACTAGATTTTCAATCGATTTCGGATCTTTTTCATGCAGGATTAAACTACAGTTTCTAGCTTACAGCGAACAAGCCTATAATGAATTGACGCTTATAGCGAACTAATCATTCCTCATGGCTTTCTAATATATTGTGCACTTAACAGATATAACGAACTACGTAAATATAATGAGGCAAAACAGTCCTTTGCACTTCGTTATAAGCGTGTTTTACTGTACACGTACATTAAAAAAAAATTGGACAGGCGTTCTCATCAAAAAATCAAATCAGAAAGTGTGAAATCAAAAGGCGTAATAACGATAAAAAAGACAAAAAGTAGAGGCGCCATAACAAAAAATGCAATACATGTGTATCACAAAAAAAGCTCTTCAAAGGTGTAATAATGAAAAAAAAATTACGTATATCAAACAAGAGGCCCCGGGGCCACATCACTCACCTGAGCACTGTGGCGAGGAAGAAAGGAAAAATTAGTTTACTATTGAAAAGCTTAAATGCATAAGTGGTCCCAACCTATCTCTAAAAGGGAGTGGGGGGGGTATGATCTGAACAAAATTAAATCTACACTAACTAAGGATGCTTACATAATTTTTTGACTAACTGTGACTTTTTTCTCTACAAGTTTAAACTTTCATTGTGGCCCCACCCTACCCCTGGAGGTCATGATTTGAACAAACTTGAATCTAGACTATCTGAGGATGCTTCCATATAAATATGACAAACAGTGGCTTTGCTGTTCTTGAGAAGATTTTTGAAGATTTTTCCTATATATTCCTATGTAAAACTTTGATCATCCATTGTGGCCCCACCCTACCCCCGGGGGTCATGATTTGAACAAATTTGAATCCACACCACCTGCAGATGCTTCCATATAAATTTGACCAATTATGGCTTTGCTGTTCTTGAGAAGAAGATTTTTGAAGATTTTTCCTATATACTCCTATGTTAAACTTTAATCGTCCATTGTGGCCCCACCCTACCCCTGGGGGTCATGATTTGAACAAACTTGAATCTACACCACCTGAGGATGCTTCCATATAAATATGACAAACAGTGGCTTTGCTGTTCTTGAGAAGATTTTTAAAGATTTTTCCTACATATTCTTATGTAAAACTTTGATCGCTCATTGTGGCTCCACCCTACCCCTGGGGGTCATGATTTGAACAAACTTGAATCTACATCACCTGAGGATGCTTCCACATAAATATGACCAAGCATAGCTTTGCTGTTCTTGAGAAGAAGATTTTTGAAGATTTTTCCTATATATTCCTATGTAAAACTTTGATCATCCATTGTGGCCCCACCCTACCCCCGGGGGTCATGATTTGAACAAATTTGAATCTACACCACCTGCAGATGCTTCCATATAAATTTGACCAATCATGGCTTTGCTGTTCTTGAGAAGAAGATTTTTGAAGATTTTTCCTATATACTCCTATGTTAAACTTTAATCGTCCATTGTGGCCCCACCCTACCCCTGAGGGTCATGATTTGAACAAACATGAATTACACCACCTGAGGATGCTTCCATATAGATATGACCAATCATAGCTTTGCTGTTCTTGAGAAGATTTTTGAAGATTTTTCCTACAGTATATATTCCTATGTAAAACTTTGATCGTCCATTGTGGCCCCACCCTGCACCCGGGGGTCATGATTTGAACAAACTTGAATCTACACCACCTGACAATAATTCCACATGAGTTTCATCTTTCCTGGCCCATTGGTTCTTGAGAAGAAGATTTTTCAATAACACCATTAATTTTTTGCTATTTCGTAATTATCTCCCCTTGGAGGAGGGCATGGCCCTTCATTTGAACAAACTTGAATCCCCTTCACCCAAGGATACTTTATGCCAAGTTTGATTCAAATTGGCCCAGTAGTTCTGGAGAAGAAGATGAAAATGTGAAAAGTTTACGACAACAACGACGACGCCAACGCCGACGACGACAGACAACAGACAAATTTTGATCAGAAAAGCTCACTTGAGCCTTCTGCTCAGGTGAGCTAAAAAGCGTGTAATGTGAAATAAAATGGCGCAATAGCGCGAATGAAAAGTAATTGTAATATCTAAAGGCCTATTTTACTTCCGAAACGCTTAATAGAAAGGCATATTAACGCCATTTCAAAAAAAAAAAAAGCGAATAAAAAGCTTTTAGGAAAGGACTTGTAGCTTAGAGCTCTACATTTAGTTTCAAGCCATCGCGCACTTAGTTTGCTTCCTAAATGTCCACATTTAAATATGATTCTCAAATCATGATAACCAACGTAGCCTCATTTTTCACTCGTGTCAATCTAGGAAGCAAACGCCTGCTAAATTGACACGAATGAAAAAGATTTCAAAGGTATAATAACACATTTTTTTCTTATGATTTTCGCGTTATATCGCCTTTTTAATGTGCATTATAGAACCTTTTATATTTCCCCCCGAAGGTTAAGCTCAATAGGCTTTCGTCAGAATTGGATTGCGAATGCTAAA